GGGGCTGGGAGGGAGGGGAGGGTTGCTGGGTCTGTGGATTTGACTGTTTCCTTACAGCACTGATGTTGGTGGGGCCTGGGGGAGCACGAGACCCGAGGAACGGACTGACGAGCAGAAATCCCAGCTGTGGATTTCTCCCAGAGCTGGGAGAATTGCTGGGTTTGGCTCTTGACTGGGCTGCCACTAATTCAGCAGAGGGATTGCTCTTTTTGCCAACCTTTTTTTGGTAATGCCACTGATCAGGCTCTTGTTTCTGATGGATCTAATCACAGGGAAACTGGAGTTTCAAGCTGGGATATCTGAGCATATATACTATAGCATTTAACTGAGCAGTCTATGGTGCCTATACCCCTCATTCATTTCTTATTTTTAGCAATTATTAACCCTGTGTAAAAAACATGAAGCTGGTTCAGGTTGGAGGGGTGGAAAGAAAAAAAAAACAAAAACAAAAAACTCTACAAAAAGTGCTTTATGTAACTATATTTCCTGAACCAGGAGTTTACAAATGTTACAAATACAAGGTTTTGGCATGTGAAGGGCTGGTTATCAATTTATTGCTACAAGGCTGCCAAAGTGTCAGAATGGATTCCTGCAGGGCCTTTGGGGGGCAGGGTGGGGGGCTCTTTTCTTTCTGCTGTCTGTTTCAGTTCTAGTCAAAATAATTAGCTATATATATATATATATATTTTATTTTTTTTTTGGTCTTTGTATAATTCGGGTACATCATTGTGTATTGTGACATGGATGCTGTCAGAATGGATGTTTGATGGCATTTTTGTAACCTGTTGCTTTGTGTCACCTCATTGGAAGTTAGCAGCAATGGTACTCAATGTAAACAAAGCAGACTTGAACTGGAAGTAAACACACTGGATTGCTTACCTGTGGAGAAGTCACTGTCAGCAAAACAGCAAACACACCTTTTTATTTCATTTTATTTATTTTGCACACACTTTATTTCATTCACCCAGGGCTGCTACTGCCTGCCAGGGCACCAGGGTGTAGGGCAGGAGCTCAGCTGCTCTCAGCAGCCTGATAATCTTCAGCTGATATTCCTTTTTCTTTTGTCTTCCAAAATTATTCCACTGGCAGGTGCATACTTATTTGATAGCTACTTCATCATGGTATTGGTTGCACTGGAAAACTTCCTTCAGGCTATCCCATGGATTTAACATAATTCCCAGATAAAACAGGATTTTGATTCTCCAAACCTTTGATTATTAAATAGGAGATGCATTTCCGCTCCCTTCTCTTTCCAGGCATCTAATGCTAGTTCTAATTTCCACTAATGCCAGTCCTAGAGCAGGGATGCTGTTTCTGCAAGCACAGGATGGATGCAGAAGGGAGGAACTCCCTGTTTCAGGGAGCCAGTTGGGAACAAGAAAGGCTTCAATGGTACATTCATTTCTCCCTTATTTCACTGCTGTGCCTCAGCTGGGGGCCCTGCCATTCCAGTAGGAACAGCAAAGTCTTGTCTGGCCTAAACTGAACAGAAAGCAGAATTATAAATGAGCACTTGACCATTTAGACCTTGCCTCCATGCTTTTCTTTTTTTAAAAAAAATGTATTTCAGGGTTTTATTACATGTTCACTCAGAAAATGTGTTCATATCCCTCTAGAGAACTGTCTCGGGGGAAAAAAAAATCAACCTAACAACCAACAACCATTATTTCTCATCTACTGTCTCCTCCCTCCTGCTGGCCATTGCCCATGGAGGCTGTACTTGCTGTGTATCACTGGAAGCAGGTTAATTCTAAATCATTCACTGTGCCCACAAAATGTCACAGTGCTGCGAGCCGGCTGAAACAGGAGCTTGGCTGAACCTGACAGGGCACAAAATTGCTGCAAAGATGCCAAAATCACATTGTTGCAAAGGACACTGCCTGAGCAGCCTGAATTTACTAGCCAGTTTTTGAATGTGTGTCAAGAATTATTCCATTTGTGCAGTTAGCAGGTGTGTATTTTTCCTTTAATAGCTTTAATCACAAAGTCAATTACCACGCAAACTCCATCAGAATAATACCTTTTCCTGCCCCACACAGTATGCAGAACTGTGTAAGTGGACATGGAGGATGGCAGTGGAAACCACCTCTCCCAGCACTCAAGACATGAGTACAGCAATAAATGAGTCTGGAAGATGCTGTGGTTCACAAGACTCCTGCAGAGCCTTTTAGCCTGAACTGGCACAACATAATTTTGGCTTTACCTCATCATACACCTCCAGTGTCCAAAAGAACGATGTTTTGGACTCATGCTTCATGTTAATATTGTTTCCAGCACCTGTTAGAGTAAAACTCCCCAGGTATCACAGCTGGAATGCTGTCTGAAGCTTCAGGTTTGGTAATAGATGTTTTGAATTATGGGTTTCACATCCCCAGCTCTGCTGACACTATTGATGCTTTTTATTGATCTGTTCTTCCAGTGCCCCAATGTCTGTAAAAGCAGCTCTGTGCAGTGGGTGACCATTAACTGAAACCAGGACAGGTTTTCTCCTTCTCCCATGCTGTGCATGCTGCCATGGAAGCAAAAAATAAGTAAATTTAAGAAGCTTTTAAAGGTGTGTGTGAAAGCATGGCCTCTCTGAGCATATCCTGAGCCCTGACATCCTTGGGTTGCCAGAACTGTTCCCTTCAAACCTCACCAAAAGATTAAATGCAGGTCAGGAAGCCTTACTTGTGCTTTATTTCAGTTTAATATTTTGAGGTTTTTTTTCCCTACATTTAAATAGGATGAATTTCCCCTTTCAAATAATCAAGATCATCATTTTGTGCTCTAAGATGGCCCTTCCCTCCCTCCATCAACCACAGTCACACCACCTGCCTCTCACTTGTAACTTTTTAAGGGCTTGTGTCCAAGCTGTAATTTCACTGGGGAAAGCAAAAGCTGTTATTAAGGAAACTTTAGTGCTCTTGACATGGATGGGAGCAGGGTGGGTTGGGCTTTGCTGCTGCTGTGAGGGGCACCAGTGAGGGCTAGGAATTTCCTAGGAAGGCTCCCTGTTTTTGCTCATCTCCTCTTTTAATTTGCAAATATTACCAAGGAGTAGAAGCACAGACTCGTGTCCTGGTGCTCATTTTGGTCTGGAAACTGAGGAAGTAGTTAGAGGCCAAAGCTGCAACCTAAGCAACTCAAAAACTGGGGAAAAAAAAAAAGATAAAGGCAAGCCAAAGGCACTTATTAGCAAAAAAACTGACATAACTGCAGTAGAAATTTAAAGTCTGTGAAATACTTAAACACAGAACCAACACAGATTCCCTCTCATTTGCACTTCTCATATATAATGTTGGTGCTTTTATGTAGAGGTGGGAGATTGATATCAAAAGTATTCCCTCAAATACTTTTGATACATCAGAACTAATCCTTAAACAGGGCTGGTTTGGACACCAGACTCAACACTGTAGAAAAACTGGGCTCCTATCAAAGGGTAATTTGGCCAGAAAGTTGAGTTCCCATTCATAATCAAATTTCCTTTATTCTTGAAATGCAGCCCAGGAAAATCAGTGGTGATCCCTGCTTGGACAGGGTCTGGAATTCAAGATATGAATGATCTGACAACTCAAAATGCCTTCACTCCCACATTAAAATAAAAGCTCTGTGACTTACAGGTTTCCTAATTAGAAAGAATTTGCACCTTAGAGTTATTAATGGATTCTTTTGTTTGTTCTCTTAAGTGATCAGAATTCTGATGTTACAAGAGAAGTTCACAACTGCTGATGATCACTCTGAGAGCTCTGCACATTTCAGACTATCATTATCATTTGGGATATGACATCTCTGCACCTCTACATCAACAGCTTCAGAAACCATTTATTTCTGCACACATCATGGATATATGCACTTATTTCCCAAAACAAAAAGGAAAAAAAAGAAAAAAAACCCCAAACAAACAACAAGCCACCAATTTTTATACAGTTCAATGTTTTGGAGCAATTAAAGTTTGTATAAAACTGATGGAAGCAAAATAGTAAATTACCTCCTCTTATCAAGTGTCTAATAAGGCACTGATTCTGGCATTTAAAAACCTGCTTTGTTTCCTACTCAAAGACATATCACATCCTCCTGAAATATTAGTATTGAAAAAATAAAGCCTCACTGCTCAAATCCTGGAGCAAACATTTTGAACAAAACACTGCATTTTACAGTGTTTGTGTTTAAACCACGGAATATTTTGAAGAAAACATTTTATTTTCATTTGAGGAACCCCAAATGAGATCTCCTTCTGATTCCTTACATGATTCAACAAAATGAAAATTCAAAAACTGCACAGCAGCATAAGGGTGAAGCTCCCTGCAGTGCTTTAAACCAAGGAAATTCCAGGAAAAAAGGGAAATATTTGCCTCAACACCATTCAGATTTCCCATTTCCTTCCCATGAGAAAAGCCAGGGACTCTTGAGTTTTAAATGGGAGATTCAAAGGTTCCTCCTCCTGCACTTGCAGGTAATGGGATTTATCACTTCTTGACCCATTTCTGAATAAGGCCATGCTTATTCAGACAGGCATCAAGAATTTATATTAAATGTAAAAAATGGACACACCACCAACCACACAGAAGTAGTATTTGCGAGGACATTTACAATAAATGGCACTAATACCTTTATTAAGAGTTTAATTTTTCATTTGTGAAAAATGAATAGATTTTTTTTTTTTCCCTTGTATGCAGAGGAAAAGCAAACTAATGGCAAAAATCAAGATTACTTTCTTATTTCAATACTCTTTGTAGCCACAAAGATACAACAATTTAACAGACAAGAAATACTGTTTATTGCAGACTTTAAGCTGATTCATGTGAAAAAGGCACTATGAAAATCAAACTAGGTGATTAAATTTGTCTAAATTAAGTGATATTATATATTATATATAATACATATATTATATATAAAATCACATGACCATGTGAAACAGAATATTTTATGACAAAAATCATTGCATCTCCAAAAATAACATTTTTCTGGAAGGGATGTTTCTCTTTTCTTTTTTCCCCCCGTTTTGCCTTCAGGAATCCATTTTTCCACAAGATTACATTTATAAAGGAAATTACAAAGGCTTTTTGCATGAGGAAAAACTGATACCTGGGATGAACACACAGAGAAGTCTAGATTATACACTGTCCTTTTTGATGGGTTAGGTTACAGACAAAAAAATGCAATTATTAAAAAAAAAAAAAAAATACTGTGAGTTGTTGCATGGCTACAGCAGATCTCATCTCCTCTTTGAGCTGGGTTGTGTTACTATTTTCTAGTTACTCCTTCTTGTGCAATATTATAGTTCATCACAGGTGAAATACGGATAAAATCAATGTACAAGAATATTATTTTGCTATAAACAGCATCATTAGTAATAAAACATCTTGGGAGTGATGCAGGAAGGATTCAGTCTGTGTTGGGCTGCTGTTCATTCCCTAAACATTTCCTCTGCATTTGCTGGAGTTGAGAACTTACGTAAACATCCTGCAGCCAAATGCCTGACAAGAAAGACTGAGCCAAAAAAGAAATAATTGTGCACTACAGCAAGAGATGGGATTCAGAATCTTATTATTACTGAAGGGTTCAAATGCTTTTTTATTGCTGGCTCAGCTTCCCTCAGATGAATCACCAACACAGACGTGCTCCAATTTATCTGTCATGTTAATTCCATAAAGCCAAGACTCATCTCTGGGTGTAAATGAATCGTGTACCGATATTTTCACCTGTCAGGAATCTCCTCTGCCTTTCTCATCTCTTCATTTCTCAGGATGAGGAGCCAGCAGCAGGTACTTCTGTGGAGACTACTGGAAATTTCCTTTATGTTGGCTAGTTATGTTTACAATACAATAAGACATTCCCCTTTCACTGCTTCCTAAAGCAAAGCTGGATGGTTTAATGCTATGGACAATGGAATTAAAGAAAAGAGGAAACACATTTAGTGGCTGCTTCCTTCATCAAAGGACTCCACACCTGAATCTGTGGCAGCTGCACTGATTTTTTCTTGCCGTCTTCTCATAATTTCTTGCAGTTCTGAACTACCACTGTTAGCCTACAAACAAAAGAGAAGAGTTTACTTGTGGCTTTGATGTGTAAATTTGAAATTCCTCTGCCAGCATTTTGTTAAGACAGCTGTTTGAACAAACTCACCTTGCAGCTCCAATAGGAAAACATTTACACTATCCTTAAATATAAACCAGAAAAAAAAAATCTGCAGACTATTAAAAGCATAAACTTGCCTTTCAGCACTGCTGAGCATCTTTAATTCCCACATGAGGCCCTGGAAGTGTTGGATATTTTGGGGGGGTTCATAAAATATGGCTTCAGTAAAAGCAGAGTTAAAGCTGAATGAGTTTGTTAGGATTCCATGCTTAAAAATCAGGGTAATAATATTTAGAAATTTAAAACCTGAAAATAAATTCTTGATAGAAATTGGACCATATTACAATATTAGCAACAGGGAAGTATTGGTGAGGACAAGGCTTTATTTCACCTTTTAAGTGTGAAGACCAGGTCTGCTGGACCAGCTGCAGACATTGCTTTTTCAACATTAATGAAATTATTAAAAGGATATATATAATATATATAATATATAAAAGGATGCCTATTCACTGGAGCAGAACTTCCCAAAGTGTGCATGACTTTGATTAAAAAGAGGGATTTATAAACCAAGAGCCAAATCTGTTACTGGCACAACATGACCTTCAAAACTTCAAAACCAGCTTCCAAAATAGCCTCTGAATAAGGGAGCAGGAACTGTTTTAGAAATTTATAAAACAAATTCCAGGACTGTTAAGGGGAAAATCCTGCAGTTGATTCTGAACTCTGAAAATGCAACCTCTTTATAAAATTTAATATAGATTTACCCCATTATATCCATTTTGGTGCCACAGAGAGTGAGAAAATGTCTAAATTAACTACAGTGCTCCACTTAAAATACCATTGCTCTCCTCTCCCAGAGTGCAAGGGCAAATGATTCTGAAATTGAGGGAGCAGCTTTATTTGTCTTTGCCCTCTTGGTTTCAGATACAGAACAAGTGCAGCCCCCATTGCTGAAGTCATGCCCAAAAACCCATCAGCAGGTGCCCAACAATGTACTTTTATCAGAGGTCATGTGCAAATATTTTTCTGAGAATAACTGGGCAGCCCAAGCTGAAATAATTTGCCTTCCTGATAACATCAACGACAACATGACTGATGAGCTTGAAATAGATAATTTTATACTAATAAAGGGAGAGAAAGGATGGTGCAACTTCCTTTGGTGACATAATTCAGCAAGCAACAGGCTAAAGCCATCAGGAATTGCATAAATTCTGAAATTCAACATCAAATAACCTAGGCAGAAATAAACATTTCAATTGCCATCTCCCCAATAAAAAGTAAGCAATGACCTTGTTAGACTCTAAGCACCTGTTAATTAACTCTTGTAGGGCATTTATTAGACAAGTTTGGACTTTTGAGTTTCCTGCAGAGTGAATCCCAACTTGGGAAAGCAGAGAAACAGCACAGAGGGGAAAAGATTCCTCTGATCCAGTGCATCTCTGCTTTTCAGAGCAAATTCCACTGCAAAGCTGCTTCCATCTCAGTACACTGAAATAAGATAGCTGACATGCAAAAAAGTTGAAGAGTAGAAATAAATCTTCACTAGGAAATGATGGATTGCTCTGGACTATAGTGGTTTATATTCCTAATGGTAAAAGTGAAATGTATCTCCCTCTAGCAGGAAAATAGGGCTTGAAGAAGGGAATAAAGCAATTTTGACAGTGTTAGGAAATGATGCTCTCTGAGCCACACTGATCATGTAAAGTGTAAAATATGCATCATCATAAGCCTGTCTTTAAAAATATGCCTGGTAGTTAATGCTTGAAATCATTTCAGTGAGACAGTCTCAGCTTAAGGACAGGATAGAAAAGTGTTTTAAACCCCTTCAATATTTTCTTCTAAATAGGATGTGGAGAATATAACTTCTCACTTGGGCTGATCTCACATCTAGATAATTTCTCCACTTGCCACAGCAAGTTAAAAAAAACTTAAAATATAAAAACAAGTAGATGCATCTCCAGTTCTACTGATTTAAAATTGGCCAGAATTGTCCTTAGCACAGCACTGGATACAAGATTAAGGTGTTGAAGAGACAATGCTTCTTCTTTAATAATTAAATTATTAATTAATTAATTAAATTTAATACAATTAAAGCAAACTGCCGCAGAGCAATAAATACAGAGACACAAGACTTGATTTCAGCACAGTGTCCAGTGTGTTCTCCCTTCAGTGCAGGTGCCCCAGTGTTTGACCTGAAAGGCCAACAGCAGTGAGCTCACCCTACCAATTCCTCATGCCTTATAAATCAAATCTCCTCTACAAAGATAAAGCAAAACTCATTTCTCACCACCAAAATTATCAGGAGTATGTGTTTGTCCAAGCACCAGGCAAAGCAAGAAGCAAGAAAAGGGGCATTTTACTCTCCCACTGTTTTCCCCAAAGCTCTTTTTGACTGATTTTGACTTCTTGCAGTCTGATTACACCACAGAATGTCAAACTCAAGTGCTATTTCTAATGTTTTTGGACCCCTTTAGAAGAGGGAAAGAAACTGGTGTTTTGATGAATGCTGTTCTGACAAATTAATACCAAATAACTCAGCTAAAAAGAATGTTTATCAATGTGATGAGAACTGAGGAAAAACCACCTTCCTCACAGAAGGAATTCTCTAATTCTACAGGTTCCAAACTGTATTAGGTGAGTAAGAGGAGCTGTCCATACCTCCAAGGCAGATTTCTGTACCGTAATTTGGCTGTAGACTCTCGACCCTTCTGGGCAGACAGTCCTCAGTTCCTCTTTATTGAGGGAGAAGAGCTGAGCCCCTGTCAGCACTCCGAGGCTGTTCACAGTCCTGGAACAAAAGGGAAATGAGCAAAATTTATCCAGCAGGACTACTGAAGTCAGTTGAGATTATAAGTATACTTTTTGGTGGAGGCTAAAATATATATATATATTTTTAATATATATATATTAAATATATAAATTTATTTTTTTATATATTTTTGAATATATATATACATATATATAAATTATATATTTTCATATTTATATATTATATAAAATTTTATTTATATATTTATATATAAATATAAATATCCTATTTATATGATATTTAATGATAAAATTTAATATCATTTTATTTAATTATATAATTATATATTTAATGAATATAATTATTATATTTATATAAATATTATATAGTATATAGAAAATTATATATTATTAATTAATTAAAATATATATAGAATATCTAGTATATATATACTCTTTTTAATTAAAAATTTATATATACTATATATGCTATACCATACCTATATACTATATATAGAATGTATATATATAAAATACAATATATAGATCCTATATATAAAATATAATATATATAGATTCTGTAGATTCATGATCACACTGGCATATATTTATATATATATTATGTAAACATAAATATATATATAAACATTTACATTTATATTATTATAAAGACATATCTTTATATATTATAAATCTGTATATAAATATAATATTTTATGTCTGAATGTATTATTATATATACATATTTTAGATTTATTATAAAAACATATTAATATAGATAAATACATATAGAATAAATATATATTAATATAAATTAATACATTTTAATAAATAAATAAATGCATACATAAAATTTAATAAATAAATAAATGTATACATAAAAAGAAATTAATTTTTCAGAGAGTGCAGCTGACATCTCCTGATTTTCAGGAGGCTGCCTGATTTTCAAAAGTGGTCAGACCTCAT